GCAGGAGGGTGAGTACCGAGAACAAAATCACAATAGCAAATAAGATAACCTTCTAGTGCATTAAGAACAAATCTGTGTAAATGCTCCTTTTTCTGAGTTGGTTCAGAGCATGTGTAGGCGCATAGCATTCACTGAGGAACTGAACTTACGCTGAAATCTTTTCTTTGGGTGATTGCCTTACTGTGTCTGTCAGACATCCACCATTGACAAAATGCTGCTGCTTTTACTGAGATTCCAAACTGTTGCAAGAAAGTCCTTTATTCTGCTAGAAAAGGCCAATGCGTAGCTGTTTCTTTTTTGTGCTAACCTGGAAACTTTTAAATGTGAGTGCTTCTAAATTCTCTAGTTGCCTTAAAATTAGAGCTGGATTAGGTTTGCAGATGCAGGATTCCTAGTGAAAAGTCAATATTTGAAACTATGGATCTTAAAACAGTGTTGATTTTACTATTGAAAATCAGATGTTAAGTACCTATAAATGTGACAAATTCATAAATATGCATACTATAATTAAAGGATGAACCAAAAATTCTTTTAAAAGATAGTTTTGAAAAATTGAATAATTCCATAATTGAATATTTGAAGAATTTGTTCTTTATACCTATTTGGTGGTAAAATTGGAAAATACTTACAAAAACACAAGGAAGGTTTTCATAAATTAGACTTAAGTCTGGCTAGAAATGATGAATTTGGGAAAAGCAACTTGCTAAAATTAAATATGACTTTTGAAGATGGAGACTGTAGTTCATAACCTGGTTTTGATCCTCAGAGTGACCTTGTATAAGGGAATCATCGTACTCTATTTAATATTTAGCACTGTTCTTATATTCATCTCCCTGGAATATCTGCTTTATAAATGTATAACTTGTACGCTTGATTTTGAAAACTCTTCGTATTTCTGTTTGAACTGTAAAGGCAGTTATGAAAACAGAATAAAAGTTGCAAATTGTATTGTATTGTCTGCCTTGTGGTTGGAACAGTTCTGTATTTTTTCATTCCAGTGGTTACAAGTGAAAGCCTGGAGCTTGGGGAAGATGATTTTATTTCCTTTTTGCGCTCTGATCTTCAACCATTAATTGATACAATCTCAGTTCCCTCTTTGTGAGTTAGGAGTGTGGGGAAGATAGGTGTGCTAAGAGCTGAGGATGTTTATATCCTGTCTACGAGTTATATTGAAGATGAACTTGATCCGTCTGTAAATTCTTGCATTTTATGGTCCATTTTTGAAAGGCTACTAGTTATCTAGGATATTTGTCCTATGGGCAGGGAAAGGACCTTTGAGGGTTTTTTATAGCATATTTCTGATAAAATAATACAGAAAATCTGTAAAATTTAACTCTCGTGCTGGCAATGTTATTATACTTAAAAGAAAATGTCAGCACCAGTGTAAGCAGTTGCTCCCCACTGCCCCAGATTTTTCTTTGAAAGACTGGACAAATCTTGCATTTGGAATAAATACTGTTCTACTTTCTTGGTCAGGGGAAGCAAAGTGTTTGTATTCATGTGAAAACAAGTAATGTAAGTTAATGTGGACTTTCCTGACAGAGATCATGATAGACTTTAAGTTTTGTATTAATTTCAAGATATCTGAGTTATGTTAGGTTCAGTTTTCTTTCCTTGAAAGAGGACTAGACTCTTAAGGTGAGGTTCATTCCCCCCATCCCCCTTTATTTAAGGAGAAGGAAAGTAATCAGCCTTTAAAAATTACTGAACTAGACTTCAGGATTTTATGCAGAATTTAATACTTTAAACAAAATTTATTAAAATAATGGTGGTCAGCAGTCAACAGGATTTGTTACTTTATCTGCAAGAATAATATCGTATGGCAGATATTTTGTATGAAGCTTGCATGCCTAGGAGATGTAACTCCCTTTTCATTTCTTTCCCTTCAAGAGCAGTGTTAACTAGTGATGTTCAAGTCCCCACAGCACCCATACTTACCATGCAGAGTATGTGATATTTTACAAAAACTTGCATTTCATTTATCAAGTTTTAGCTAGTACTACTTCCTAGGAAAGTCCCTAATGTTCATGTTCTTGGCTCTTTGGCTGCAGAACATAGGTTGTTCTCACCCAACAGGTGCTGTAGGTTTTCTGCTCCAAGAAATTAGCATTCCCAGTCTGGTGATACTCAGGCTATGGAAAGGTATGTTTTAGTGCTGAATTGCAGCAGTGGCAGACTTAGAAATTTTTCTCCTCATCTGCTGCTCATCACCTAATAAGCGAAGCTGCAGTTCTGTGGGCAAAAATGTTTATGAGGTACTGCCTAATCTTTATTAGACAAAAATAATCTTGTTCCTTTCAAACCACCTGTATCACTATTTAATTTAACCTGAATTTGACCTGAAAACTGTTTGAGGATTTGACCTCTAATAGATGGTCAGTGACGCTTTCAGTCATTGCAGCAGCTCACAAGCTCAGTATGTGCCTTTGGCTTTGGTAAGCCGAGTAGGATTACCCATCTTTGATTTATATGGCCAGCTACATAAAGCAAGCACCTTGAAGTTTCCCAGCTTCTGCTGATTAATACCAAAACATCATGGTTACTTCTTTGGGGTTTTCCCCACCCCCATGAGAAGTAGTAGGTGACACATTTCTGAAAACCAGAAGGAACTGTACAATTGCATTTACTTAGCGGAAAATATCTTTTGGATTTGAAGTATTCATTCAGAATCCTTTGGTATAGAAGGATTAAGGATTATTATAGAAGGATTGGGATAGGGATTTATATTTTTCATTCAAAAAGAAAGGTGCTTCTTTAAGGACAAAATGAAACTTAATTCATTTTATCTTAACCTTAGTAATTGAATAGCATCAGTGATATGGAAAATTGTATTTTCAATCTGCTCAAAACTAATCCTGTCATTATTTAATGAGGCTCTACTGTTCTGCCCTGTGTATC